GACTCACATTCACCTGCAAATACACTGCACCTTTACATCAGATGCTGTTGCAATGTAATAAAGCCCTGCACTAAAAGCAAGTTATTCTTATTACTCACAAACATACACAGTCAATTCACATCACAGTATATCCTGTGAAGCGCTTTGAGACGTCTCAAAGACGTGATAAAGTGCCATATCAAATTCGTAGATTAGTATATAATATTGGTTAATATTATATGATATTATTATCGTCGTTAAATCTAAACCATTAACGGCCACTTATAAAATACCCAGTCACTACAGTAAAATCATGTGAAGGGCTTTGAGACGTTCTCTCGATACGAAAAAAGGCGCTTCTGTACATCAAATGTAAGGATTATCATTATTGTAATATATTCACTGACACCTTGTGAAGATGTATTCACTCATCACCGCTGACCTAAAGCAAAGCTGCACCTCCAAGTATATAGTCAATCCACTTCACAGTCCACAACTGTTTGTGGGACGCTGTTGTGCGCAATTGGCTACCATGTTTGGTCCACAAAATATACAGTCAATCCACTTTCCAGTATATCCTGTGCAGCGCTTTGAGACATCTCGAGACCTGATAAGGCACTATATCAAATGCATGGATTATTATCATTACAATATATTCTGTGAAGCGCTTTGAGATGTCTCGAAGACATGAGAAAGGGCTATATCAAAGGCAAGGATTATCATTATTTGTAGTGTTACCTGAAACAATGAGCCACAAAATCAATGCAGTCCACGAGGTAATCTTTGCAAAGAGCATCTTGTTGTCTTGCTGTTGTGTTGCCTGTTGACTGGAAGGTTGCTTTGCTGCTACTGCTGCTATTCCAGCACTCCATCTCCCTATTTCTATCTCTGGCAGGGCTGCTCATTCTGCGTCATTGGAAAAAACACGGGGAGGGCGGGGAGGGGCGGGTGGGTGAGGAATGTTTCCCAAAACATTTCTGACCTAGTTCTCGAACCGATGCTTAAAAATAAAATAAAGTAATGCGGAACCTCCCTCCTTACCTGAGTTGCTCCTCACCTGAGCTGTTCTCACTGTGATCGTTGAGGACACAGCTGGTGAGACACTCATTCAAGCTGATTACGCACATCACACTCTCACACACACACACACACACACATAAGCCCTTGTTTATCTCCTGCCTTAGAAATGCACATATTTGTTCCTGCTTTTTGCCGTGGCTACAACAGGGAATGTTACGTTTTGCAATCAGAAAGAAAAACACACACACCTTTGACGCAGCAGCTGTACATATTAACGACTCATATGTTAACCAATTCCAAGTCAAAGAAAGGTTCAAGTATTCTACAACCTTACATTTGGCTCGACCCAGAAGCCTGTCATTACGATATTTTTATATATAAATACATATATGTGTGTATGTATATGTTTGTTTGTTTGTCGTTATTTATTTATTATTATTTATTGATTCATTTATTTATTGATGGATTTATTTATTTCAAAGCAAATTTTTAAATAATATCTATTTCTGAAGATTATTATTATCAATAAATATAATTATATAAAAGGCAGGGCGAAACCTTGGGCAAGTTTCCTTACTCCACACAGAGCCTAATAATAATCCCTCGAAAAACCCAAAACAATAATAAAATTGGTCATTTTCAATCTACGACTGTTTGTGGGACATTGCTGTGCGCAATTGGCTGTCGCGTTCGCCCACAAATATACAGTCAATTCACTTTACAGTGTGTTCTGTGAAGCGCTTTGGGACGTCGTCCCGACGTGAAAAGTGCTATATCAAATACAAGGATTATTATTATTATAATTCTTATAATTGATGTTGCACCTTTAAATTTATTGAGCGCCTTCCACGTCGGGAGGACGTCCCAAGGCGCAGTACAGTTAGGTCAGGACCCGAGCAAGGGGGAAATGGTCAGGGTGAGGGGAGGGAAGGGACTGAGCGAGGAGGGGGTAGAGATTCGAGAGAGGAGCTGTTGTATTATTGCAGCAGTAAAATTAATGTAAAGGTTTCAAAACTGTGTATCCATTTGCTCCTGGTCTCAGTTGGTTTGGTATTTATGTGATTCAAAGATGCATATAAAATTATCCATTTTATCCATTTGCCTGTCAGAGCTGATAATAGTAATATCATATGATGGAGCTAAGAACGAGATTGCTCACACTGTATACCACCAGAACCTCTAAACTAGATACTAGAGGTTACCGGATCAAACATAAGCTTTCTCTTTGCTTTCTCTTCCTTTGCCTCGTGGAACAGATTATCAGGAAGAGTGGTTGAGGTCAGCACACTGGGACTCATTTAAAAACACAGAGCTTGACGCTGTGATGGGAAGATGGTGGCAAAGGTATTCTGGAGGGTTGAGGTCAAATGGGCAACTGAACCAATCTTGAGATCTCGATATGATATGCGGCTCGCTGCTGGACACAAACATTTGAACTGTTTGTAAGGCATTGTGTAATGTGTAAAAAAAAACCATCCTGTTCGTACAAAAAACAACTTGCATTTATATCTCATGAGGGGTAGAGTCCCGGAGGGCTTCCCAGCGGGAGAGTCAGACAACGGGCCGGGGGGCAAGATTGGTGGGGAGGTGACCGTAAGCACGATGAAAAAGGAAAGTGTTTAGGCAGGATTTGAAGGTGGGGAGGGAGGAAGGGGACAAGGCGGAGGGGTTAAGGGAGAGAGTTCCAGAGTTTCGGGGCATAGCGGCTGAAGGCACGGCCACCGATGGTGGGTTTTTAACAATACTTTGATACACCATTGCAGCGGGACATGAGCACACAGGTTAGTGATGTGAAGGTCAATTTCAGGACATATATTAGGAGGGATTTGTTTTCGCAGAAGGAACTGACTGGAGGAGGAAGTATTCCCGAAAAAGGTGATAAATGAGGTGACATTTCACCTCATTTAAGAAACAGCTTGAAGCCGTAATGGATGACAGTGAGGTAATTAATAAAGGATGTGTGAGATGACATCAGCTGATGAAACTTCATCCAAATCAGTCTTGCGATCTTGTTAAGAATCACGCCCAAAATATCAACCGAACATTCTCTTTCAGTTGTCAAATGGCTTGATGTGCACTTCCATCATTTTCCATTTAATAATAATAATCCTGGCATTTGATATAGCAATTTCACATTTTCGCGACGTCTCAAAGCGCTTCACAGAATATGCTATCAAGTGAATTGACTGTATATTTGTGGGCGAAACGCGGCAGCCAATTGCGCTCAGCAGTGTCCCACAAACAGTCGTGGATTGAATTGACCAATTTATTACTTTTTTTGCTTGAGGAATTGTTATCAGGCGTGTGGAGTAAGGAAACTTGCCCAAGGTTTCGCCCTCTGCCTGGAATTGAACCCAGGTGTCTCACTTGCAAGGCGAGTGCTCTAACCACTGAGCTACAGGACTCCAATGTAGTCATCTTGCCCCAGTCACTGTTCCTTGATCACTTGAGCCATGTCCCGCTTGCTGACACCTTCCCTTTATCAAATTGTGGAGTCCCGTAGCTCAGTGGTTAGAGCACTCGTCTCGCAAGCAAGAAGATCTGGTTCGATTCCCGGCAGGGCAAAATGTTGGGCAAGTTTCCTTACTCCACACACCCCTGTTTGCCAAGCAGTAAGTCGGAACCCGGTTGTTGGTCGATTGGAGGATTGCTTTTCCGGGGATAATAAGCCCTTCAAAAATATAATAAATATGAATAATAATGTGGTTTCTCAATCCACGACTGTATGTTAGGCACTGCTGTGCGTAATTGGCTGCCGCGTTTGGTCCACAAAATACAGAGCCACTCAACTTTACAATATAGTCTGTGAAGCACTTTGAGACGCGATGAAGACGTGATAAGGCGCTATATCAACATGCAAGGATTATTATTATTATTGTCCTGACTTCCCAGCGCAGCATCAAACTATTTAAAATGAGTGCAGTGTCCTGGCCTGAACTTCCCTTGTTGGCAAACTGGTGCAGTCGTTAATTACCCTGTGGGTAAAGGAAACCTTCCTGCCATCTGTCCTGAAATTACCCTTTCCAACTCTAAACCTCCGTCTTCTGTTCGGTCTGAGCGCAGGTGTGTACAACTCAAACTTCATATTGATGGCTGGAGGGGATATTGCACAATAGATGTCAATGAACCAAACTGTAATGACGAGTGTGACCACTAGTCTTTTTACTCTCTGTCTGACTCAGTTGATTGCGTTGGGGAAATAATCAGGGTTGGGTTTGATGTCATAGGAAGGTTCAGGCAGCCGTAAATGAAGGCTTCAAAAAATTTGAACATACTCAAAGGTTAACAGAGACGCTGACGGTATCATCATCCACGATTGCACACTCAACCTTGCTAAGCCAGTCCGGAACCTTGGGGTCTTGCTTGACTCTCAACTATCCTTTCTACCCCACATTCGCACCATGACCCCCTCTGCCTTCCCCCACGTCCGCAACTTTGCCCGGCTCCGACACTGTCTCACACCGCAGGCTGCCAAAACCCTCATACACGCCTTCATTACATCGAGGCTCGACTATGCAAACTCACTGCTGGTCAGTCTCCCCAACTCCTCCCTCCACAGATCATCCAGAACTCTGCAGCCGGTATCCTCTCCCACACCAGGTTCCGTGACCTTATCACTCCCATCGTTGCCCACATCCACTGGCTTATCCACTGGCTTCCCATCACACAGAGGATATAGTTTAAGATGCTGGTCCTCACCTTCAAAGCCCCCCCCAAAACATGTCAGATTGAGGTTCCTCTTTGACAACATCTCCTGTATTTATCTGAATTTTGCATATTGTGTGAGTAGGTCATGTTTATATGTCTCCTGGCCAACAATCCTCCCGATACAGTCGGTCATTCATTTTGTGGCTGTTTGTTACACATTGTTGTGCGTAAAGCGGATGTCGCATTTGCCTACATAATACAGTCACTGCACTTCACAGTAATTCCCGGGAATAAGTTTCTACAGCCCCTCATTCTTTAAAAGAGTCGATGGGACCAAACAGGGCAATTGGTTGACAAACAGTTTATTCAGTTTGATACAAGCGCTCTCAGTTAAACTATTACAAGTGTATCAACTATTACATAAATAAGATCAATAACATAACAATTTAACATCATCAAACTCATATTTTTGTTGAGTAATTGAATAGTTTAATAAACATGATAGAACTATTTGTTTTTTTAAGAGACAGAGGTCGGCAATGCCAAATCCTGGGCTTTAAAATTTACCTATTTAAATAATTTAGATATATAATAAGAATATGATGAATGTGATAATCACTATAATAATGTACTTTACTGTTGAAGTTGATAATTTATTAAATAGATATGTAAATAGTTACTTATTTATAGTAATGTTTTATAAACAAACACCTTTGGCCACATATGTTGACTCCTTTGCAAAATACAGTCACTCTACAGTAAATTCTGTGAAGTGCTTTGAGACAGACATCCTCTCGACGTGAAAGTCGCTGCATGAAATGCAAGAATTGTTATTGTTGTTATATATTTAATGGATTAAATTGCAAAAGAATGTCAACATAACCATTCTGCAATTTCTAATTGAAATCTCAAATTGACACCAAACAGGTTTAGTCCTTAAGAGATCAAAACAGAGGTCGCTGGGAACACTCATCAGACGAAAGGTCATCGACCTGAAACGTTAAGCTCTCTCCATAGATGCTGCCTGACCTGCTGAGTATTCCCAGCGACTTCTGTGTTTATTTCAGATTTCCAGCATCTGGAGTATTTTGCTATTTGTTAGTCCTCAAAAGAAATCCCTGAACAATTCTGCGGTCGCTGGTCCAGCCAATTTTGTTTTTTACAAAAATTCCCTTCCAAATATATTAATCTTCATGTAGTGCTAATAAAATATATATATATATATACTCTTCAATAACTTTGATAAAATAAATAGTTTGATAAACTGCTTTGAACTTCGATCGAGGTGCTTTCTTCAGTAATACTTCTCCTCATCCAGATGGAGGCGATAATTGTCTCCAGCTTTTTTGTATTATACTGTAGCTCCTAACTCTTTTCCTTCTCACGCAGAATACAAACTGAAATGAAGAATAAAATAAATTTATAAAATATATACATCTATTTGAAATGAATAAATATGAAATAAACAATACATTATATCTGCATATAATATATATATGTGTGTGTGTGTGTGTGTGGGGGGGGGGGGGGACTGGCACATCAAAAATACTACCTTCAACCATACCATCCAAGACAATACAATTTACATTGCAATATCTAAGCATCCTATCAAGCTGAGATTGAAAGCAACTGATGATTGCCAAGCAAGCGAGATGGGAGTAAAAGTGACTGTAGGCATGGTCAAAGAGGGAGGTTTTTATGCAGGTTGAAAGAGGGGTAGAGAGGGGAGAGCGCAGGGTGGATGATGGAGGGAAAGTGGGGGACAGCAATAGTGAGGCGGGGGGCACCCAGGGTTAGAAGAGTTGAATTTACTTACCAATAGACAAATAGTGCATATAATGAGTATGGCGAGCAGGATAGCCAGGACTATAATGATTATGGCCCAAAATGGTAGGCTCTTGTTGCCAGTAACTGGTGCTTCCGTTCCTACACAAACCAAACAGAATGCAATTGTCAATAATAAGACATCATTTCACAATTCATAACCAACAGAGCTGCGGCAGAGATCACTACTTTAAGAACGGGTAAAGCATTTTGTTGCTTCTCCCATTGTGCTTGAATATACGTTCTTTGGTTAAGGAATTTCAAGATGCGCTACGTATCAGGACAAATCGGGATTTTCTCGAAATATACAATCAAAAATAATTCAAATGCTGAATAAAATGACCGAATTATCAATTCTTTATTAGAACTATATTTGGATCTGTTTCAAACGCAATTCAAACATAAGAACATAAGAATTAGCTGCAGGAGAAGGCCATTTGGCCCTTCGTGCCTGTGCTCCGCCATTCAATAAGATCATGGCTGATCTTCTCACCTAACTCTGATTTCCTGCCCTGTCCCCATATCTCCTAATCCCTCTATTTTTCAAGAATCTATCAGTCTCAGCCTTGAAAATGTTCAAGGACTGAGCATCTACAGCCTTCTGGGGTAGTGAATTCCATAAGTTCACTACCCTCTGAGTGAAGAAATGTTTCCTCAGCTTTGTTCTAAGAGGCTGACCCTTAATTTTAAGACTGTGACCCCTGGTTATAGATTCTCCTTCCGGGGAAACAGTCCCTCTGTGTCTACTTTATCAGCCCTTTAAGAATCTTATAAGTTTCAATAAGATCCCCCCTAATTCTTCTGTACACCAGAGAATACAGCCCCAGTTTATTCAGCCTATCCTCATAGGTCAGTCCCCATTGCAATTGTCCCACAAACAAGTCATGAAAGGAAGGAACAATTGTAGGTGGGTGAGGTTGTCAGTTAGGACGGTCGGGAGTAACTCTCTTGCCTTTTCGAATAGCGTCATGTGATAGTATTGGTTCGTTGACTTACCGGTGGTGGATGGGGCATTGTTGGTTGTTCCTGTTGATGGGTGTGCGGCTGTCTGACTTGTGGGGCCCTGTGATGCCGCTGATGGTCTGGCACTCAGTGTTGCTGTTGTTCTGGCTGCAGTGTTGGAGGTTCCTGACTTAGTCGTGGATCCTGGAGAACAGGTAGTTGTCATTTTAGTACTCGCAGTTTCCAACAGAGAGCACGATCTCTGGATCTACCTCATCGACACAAACCACAGCCGCTGAGCACCTGATGTAACTACTTTAAACTTCTCTACACTTCAACTAACTGACCCGAAATTCCACCTGGTCCCAGAGCGATTAAGAATTAAGAGTGAATTAAAGAGTTTTCCACAATCCTGACCTTCGATTTTAAGGCAAAATACCCTTACAGACTGGAATCCCGGGGCACACACATCCCTTGCGACTTCGGCAAAAGTTTTGCTGAATTTTATAGCAAACGTCACGAGAAAAATGAAATGAAATAAAATGGAATTACATGGAGACTTTTGTTTCAATGGCTATGCCACAAACGTCTGAAAACGGTGGTTCAGCATTACTTACAAAAATGGTTCTCTACGACGGAGAAGTAATTTTAAAACTTACCGCTTTTTGCTGGTACTGAGCTGGTGCTCTCTGTTGGTGCTGAGCTGGTGCTCTCTGTTGGGGCTGTGCTGGAGCTCTCTGTTGGGGCTGTGCTGGAGCTCTCTGTTGGTGCTGTACTGGTGCTCTCTGCTGGTGCTGTGCTGGTGCTCTCTACTATCTGGGAGGTGGATGCATCAGCTGTGTGGCTTCCTGCTGCTGTGGCCATTGTGCCGGCACTTGTGACCGCTGGAGATGTGGAGCTTTCTGGCAACGAGACAGATACACTGGATTGTGATGATGAGCTCATTGCAGAGCTGATGGCTTCTGCTGGAATTGTTGTTTCTGTTGATGCTGAGCTGGTGCTCTCTGTTGGCTCTGAGCTGGTGCTCTCTGTTGGTGCTGAGCTGGTGCTCTCTGTTGGTGCTGAGCTGGTGCTGTCTGTTGGTGCTGAGCTGGTGCTCTCTGTTGGTGCTGTACTGGTGCTCTCTGCTGGTGCTGTGCTGGTGCTCTCTCCTACCTGGGAGGTGGATGCATCAGCTGTGTGGCTTCCTGCTGCTGTGGCCATTGTGCCGGCACTTGTGACCGCTGGAGATGTGGAGCTTTCTGGCAACGAGACAGATACACTGGATTGTGATGATGAGCTCATTGCAGAGCTGATGGCTTCTGCTGGAATTGTTGTTTCCTTTGGTGCTGAGCTGGTGCTCTCTGTTGGTGCTGAGCTGGTGCTCTCTGTTGGTACTGAGCTGGTGCTCTCTATTGGTGCTGAGCTGGTGCTCTCTGTTGATGCGGAGCTGGTGCTCTCTGTTGGTGCTGAGCTGGTGTTCTCTATTGGTGCTGAGCTGGTGCTCTCTGTTGGGGCTGAGCTGGTGCTGAATGTTGTTGCGGAGCTGGTGCTCTCTGCTGATGCGGTGCTGGTGCTCTCTGTTGGGTCTGAGCTGGTGATCTCTGTTGGTGCTGAGCTGGTGCTTTCTGTTGGTGCTGAGCTGGTGGTCTCTGTTGGGGCTGAGCTGGTGCTGTCTGTTGGGGCTGAGCTGGTGCTGTCTGTTGGGGCTGAGCTGGAGCTCTCTGCTGGTGCTGAACTGGTGCTGTCTGATGGTGCTGTGCTGGTGCTGTCTGTTGGGGCTGAGCTGGTGCTCTCTGTTGGTGCTGAGCTGGTGCTCTCTGTTGGTGCTGAGCTGGTGCTCTCTGTTGGGGCTGAGCTGGTGCTCTCTATTGGTGCTGAGCTGGTGCTCTCTGTTGGGGCTGAGCTGGTGCTCTCTGTTGGTGCTGAGTTGGTGCTCTCTGTTGTGGCTGAGCTGGTGCTCTCTATTGGTGCTGAGCTGGTGCTCTCTGTTGGGGCTGAGCTGGTGCTCTCTGTTGGTGCTGAGTTGTTGCTGTCTGTTGGTGCTGAGCTGGTGCTCTCTGTTGGTGCTGAGCTGGTGCTCTCTGTTGGTGCTGAGCTGGTGCTCTCTGTTGGTGCTGAGCTGGTGCTCTCTGTTGATGCGGAGCTGGTGCTGAATGTTGTTGCGGAGCTGGTGCTCTCTGTTGGTGCTGAGCTGGTGCTCTCTGTCGGGGTTGAGCTGGTGCTCTCTGTTGGTGCTGAGCTGGTACTCTCTGTTGGTGCTGAGCTGGTGCTCCCCGTCGGGGCTGAGCTGGTACTGTCTGTTGGGGCTGAGCTGGTGCTGTCTGTTGGTGCTGAGCTGGTGGTCTCTGTTGGGGCTGAGCTGGTGCTGAATGTTGTTGCGGAGCTGGTGCTCTCTGCTGATGCGGTGCTGGTGCTCTCTGTTGGGTCTGAGCTAGTGATCTCTGTTGGTGCTGAGCTCGTGCTTTCTGTTGGTGCTGAGCTGGTGCTGTCTGTTGGGGCTGAGCTGGAGCTCTCTGTTGGTGCTGAACTGGTGCTGTCTGATGGTGCTGTGCTGGTGCTGTCTGTTGGGGCTGTGCTGGTGCTCTCTGTTGGTGCTGAGCTGGTGCTCTCTGTTGGTGCTGAGCTGGTGCTCTCTGCTGGGGCTGAGCTGGTGCTCTCTGTTGGCGCTGAGCTGGTGCTCTCTGTTGATGCGGAGCTGGTGCTCTCTGTTGGTGCTGAGCTAGTGCTCTCTGTTGGTGCTGAGCTGGTGCTCTCTGTCAGGGCTGAGCTGGTGCTCTCTGTTGGTGCGGTGCTGGTGCTCTCTGTTGGTGCTGAGCTCGTGCTCTCTGTTGGTGCTGAGCTGGTGCTCTCTGTTGATGCTGAGCTGGTGCTCTCTGTCGGGGCTGAGCTGGTGCTGTCTGTTGGTGCTGAGCTGGTGCTCTCTGTTGGTGCTGAACTGGTGCTCTCTGTTGGGGCTGAGCTGGTGCTCTCTGTTGGTGCTGAGTTGTTGCTGTCTGTTGGTGCTGAGCTGGTGCTCTCTGTTGGTGCTGAGCTGGTGCTCTCTGTTGATGCGGAGCTGGTGCTGAATGTTGTTGCGGAGCTGGTGCTCTCTGTTGGCTCTGAGCTGGTGCTCTCTGTCGGGGTTGAGCTGGTGCTCTCTGCTGGGGCTGAGCTGGTGCTCTCTGTTGGTGCTGAGCTGGTACTCTCTGTTGGTGCTGAGCTGGTGCTCCCCGTCGGGGCTGAGCTGGTACTGTCTGTTGGGGCTGAGCTGGTGCTGTCTGTTGGTGCTGAGCTGGTGGTCTCTGTTGGGGCTGAGCTGGTGCTGAATGTTGTTGTGGGGCTGGTGCTCTCTGCTGATGCGGTGCTGGTGCTCTCTGTTGGGTCTGAGCTGGTGATCTCTGTTGGTGCTGAGCTCGTGCTTTCTGTTGGTGCTGAGCTGGTGCTGTCTGTTGGGGCTGAGCTGGAGCTCTCTGTTGGTGCTGAACTGGTGCTGTCTGATGGTGCTGTGCTGGTGCTGTCTGTTGGGGCTGTGCTGGTGCTCTCTGTTGGTGCTGAGCTGGTGCTCTCTGTTGGTGCTGAGCTGGTGCTCTCTGCTGGGGCTGAGCTGGTGCTCTCTGTTGGCGCTGAGCTGGTGCTCTCTGTTGATGCGGAGCTGGTGCTCTCTGTTGGTGCTGAGCTAGTGCTCTCTGTTGGTGCTGAGCTGGTGCTCTCTGTCAGGGCTGAGCTGGTGCTCTCTGTTGGTGCGGTGCTGGTGCTCTCTGTTTGTGCTGAGCTCGTGCTCTCTGTTGGTGCTGAGCTGGTGCTCTCTGTTGATGCTGAGCTGGTGCTCTCTGTCGGGGCTGAGCTGGTGCTGTCTGTTGGTGCTGAGCTGGTGCTCTCTGTTGGTGCTGAACTGGTGCTCTCTGTTCGTGCTGAGCTGGTGCTCTCTGTCGGGACTGAGTTGGTGCTCTCAGTCGGGCTGAGTTGGTGCTCTCAGTCGGGGCTGAGTTGGTGCCCTCAGTCGGGGCTGAGCTGGTGCTCTCTGCTGGTGCTGAGCTGGTGCTCTCTGTCGGGGCTGAGCTGGTGCTCTCTGTCGGGGCTGAGCTGGTGCTCTCTGTCGGGGCTGAGCTGGTGCTCTCTGTTGGTGCTGAGCTGGTGCTCTCTGCTGATGCGGTGCTGGTGCTCTCTGTTGGTGCTGAGCTGGTGCTCTCTGTCGGGGCTGAGCTGGTGCTCTCTGTCGGGGCTGAGTTGGTGCTCTCTGTCGGGGCTGAGCTGGTGCTCTCTGTCGGGGCTGAGCTGGTACTCTCTGTTGGTGCGGAGCTGGTGCTCTCTGCTGGTGCTGAGTTGGTGCTCTCTGTCGGGGCTGAGCTGGTGCTCTCTGTCGGGGCTGAGCTGGTGCTCTCTGTCGGGGCTGAGCTGGTGCTCTCTGTCGGGGCTGAGCTGGTGCTCTCTGTCGGGGCTGAGCTGGTGCTCTCTGTCGGGGCTGAGCTGCTACTCTCTGTCGGGGCTGAGCTGGTGCTGTCTGATGGTGCTGTGCTGGTGCTGTCTGTTGGGGCTGAGCTGGTGCTCTCTGTTGGTGCTGAGCTGGTGCTCTCTGTTGGTGCTGAGCTGGTGCTCTCTGTTGGGGCTGAGCTGGTGCTCTCTATTGGTGCTGAGCTGGTGCTCTCTGTTGGGGCTGAGCTGGTGCTCTCTGTTGGTGCTGAGTTGGTGCTCTCTGTTGTGGCTGAGCTGGTGCTCTCTATTGGTGCTGAGCTGGTGCTCTCTGTTGGGGCTGAGCTGGTGCTCTCTGTTGGTGCTGAGTTGTTGCTGTCTGTTGGTGCTGAGCTGGTGCTCTCTGTTGGTGCTGAGCTGGTGCTCTCTGTTGGTGCTGAGCTGGTGCTCTCTGTTGGTGCTGAGCTGGTGCTCTCTGTTGATGCGGAGCTGGTGCTGAATGTTGTTGCGGAGCTGGTGCTCTCTGTTGGTGCTGAGCTGGTGCTCTCTGTCGGGGTTGAGCTGGTGCTCTCTGTTGGTGCTGAGCTGGTACTCTCTGTTGGTGCTGAGCTGGTGCTCCCCGTCGGGGCTGAGCTGGTACTGTCTGTTGGGGCTGAGCTGGTGCTGTCTGTTGGTGCTGAGCTGGTGGTCTCTGTTGGGGCTGAGCTGGTGCTGAATGTTGTTGCGGAGCTGGTGCTCTCTGCTGATGCGGTGCTGGTGCTCTCTGTTGGGTCTGAGCTAGTGATCTCTGTTGGTGCTGAGCTCGTGCTTTCTGTTGGTGCTGAGCTGGTGCTGTCTGTTGGGGCTGAGCTGGAGCTCTCTGTTGGTGCTGAACTGGTGCTGTCTGATGGTGCTGTGCTGGTGCTGTCTGTTGGGGCTGTGCTGGTGCTCTCTGTTGGTGCTGAGCTGGTGCTCTCTGTTGGTGCTGAGCTGGTGCTCTCTGCTGGGGCTGAGCTGGTGCTCTCTGTTGGCGCTGAGCTGGTGCTCTCTGTTGATGCGGAGCTGGTGCTCTCTGTTGGTGCTGAGCTAGTGCTCTCTGTTGGTGCTGAGCTGGTGCTCTCTGTCAGGGCTGAGCTGGTGCTCTCTGTTGGTGCGGTGCTGGTGCTCTCTGTTGGTGCTGAGCTCGTGCTCTCTGTTGGTGCTGAGCTGGTGCTCTCTGTTGATGCTGAGCTGGTGCTCTCTGTCGGGGCTGAGCTGGTGCTGTCTGTTGGTGCTGAGCTGGTGCTCTCTGTTGGTGCTGAACTGGTGCTCTCTGTTGGGGCTGAGCTGGTGCTCTCTGTTGGTGCTGAGTTGTTGCTGTCTGTTGGTGCTGAGCTGGTGCTCTCTGTTGGTGCTGAGCTGGTGCTCTCTGTTGATGCGGAGCTGGTGCTGAATGTTGTTGCGGAGCTGGTGCTCTCTGTTGGCTCTGAGCTGGTGCTCTCTGTCGGGGTTGAGCTGGTGCTCTCTGCTGGGGCTGAGCTGGTGCTCTCTGTTGGTGCTGAGCTGGTACTCTCTGTTGGTGCTGAGCTGGTGCTCCCCGTCGGGGCTGAGCTGGTACTGTCTGTTGGGGCTGAGCTGGTGCTGTCTGTTGGTGCTGAGCTGGTGGTCTCTGTTGGGGCTGAGCTGGTGCTGAATGTTGTTGTGGGGCTGGTGCTCTCTGCTGATGCGGTGCTGGTGCTCTCTGTTGGGTCTGAGCTGGTGATCTCTGTTGGTGCTGAGCTCGTGCTTTCTGTTGGTGCTGAGCTGGTGCTGTCTGTTGGGGCTGAGCTGGAGCTCTCTGTTGGTGCTGAACTGGTGCTGTCTGATGGTGCTGTGCTGGTGCTGTCTGTTGGGGCTGTGCTGGTGCTCTCTGTTGGTGCTGAGCTGGTGCTCTCTGTTGGTGCTGAGCTGGTGCTCTCTGCTGGGGCTGAGCTGGTGCTCTCTGTTGGCGCTGAGCTGGTGCTCTCTGTTGATGCGGAGCTGGTGCTCTCTGTTGGTGCTGAGCTAGTGCTCTCTGTTGGTGCTGAGCTGGTGCTCTCTGTCAGGGCTGAGCTGGTGCTCTCTGTTGGTGCGGTGCTGGTGCTCTCTGTTTGTGCTGAGCTCGTGCTCTCTGTTGGTGCTGAGCTGGTGCTCTCTGTTGTGCTGAGCTGGTGCTCTCTGTGGGGCTGAGCTGGTGTTCTCTGTTGGTGCTGAGCTGGTGCTCTCTGTTGGTGCTGAACTGGTGCTCTCTGTTCGTGCTGAGCTGGTGCTCTCTGTCGGGACTGAGTTGGTGCTCTCAGTCGGGGCTGAGTGGTGCTCTCAGTCGGGGCTGAGTTGGTGCCCTCAGTCGGGGCTGAGCTGGTGCTCTCTGCTGGTGCTGAGCTGGTGCTCTCTGTCGGGGCTGAGCTGGTGCTCTCTGTCGGGGCTGAGCTGGTGCTCTCTGTCGGGGCTGAGCTGGTGCTCTCTGTTGGTGCTGAGCTGGTGCTCTCTGCTGATGCGGTGCTGGTGCTCTCTGTTGGTGCTGAGCTGGTGCTCTCTGTCGGGGCTGAGCTGGTGCTCTCTGTCGGGGCTGAGTTGGTGCTCTCTGTCGGGGCTGAGCTGGTGCTCTCTGTCGGGGCTGAGCTGGTACTCTCTGTTGGTGCGGAGCTGGTGCTCTCTGCTGGTGCTGAGTTGGTGCTCTCTGTCGGGGCTGAGCTGGTGCTCTCTGTCGGGGCTGAGCTGGTGCTCTCTGTCGGGGCTGAGCTGGTGCTCTCTGTCGGGGCTGAGCTGGTGCTCTCTGTCGGGGCTGAGCTGGTGCTCTCTGTCGGGGCTGAGCTGCTACTCTCTGTCGGGGCTGAGCTGGTGCTGTCTGATATCTGGGAGGTGGAGGTTTCAGCCATGGCGCTGGATGCTGAGGTTTGTGTCAGTGAGGTAGGTGCGGAGCTGCTGGTTTCTGCTGGTGTTGCGCTGGTGGGTGCAGCAGTTGCCGATGTGGAGCTTTCCGGCATGGGGCTGGATACGGCTGATGAGGGTGAGTCCGTTTGAGAGATTGTGGTTCCGAGGGTACTTTCACCTGTTTTATACAATGACAAATCAGACTTAGACTCAGGCAAAGTGTCGCATAACCGTATGAATCAGACTCACATTCACCTACAAATACACTGCACCTTTACATCAGATGCTGTTGCAATGTAATAAAGCCCTGCACTAAAAGCAAGTTATTCTTATTACTCACAAACATACACAGTCAATTCACATCACAGTATATCCTGTGAAGCGCTTTGAGACGTCTCAAAGACGTGATAAAGTGCCATATCAAATTCGTAGATTAGTATATAATATTGGTTAATATTATATGATATTATTATCGTCGTTAAATCTAAACCATTAACGGCCACTTATAAAATACCCAGTCACTACAGTAAAATCATGTGAAGGGCTTTGAGACGTTCTCTCGATACGAAAAAAGGCGCTTCTGTACATCAAATGTAAGGATTATCATTATTGTAATATATTCACTGACACCTTGTGAAGATGTATTCACTCATCACCGCTGACCTAAAGCAAAGCTGCACCTCCAAGTATATAGTCAATCCACTTCACAGTCCACAACTGTTTGTGGGACGCTGTTGTGCGCAATTGGCTACCATGTTTGGTCCACAAAATATACAGTCAATCCACTTTCCAGTATATCCTGTGCAGCGCTTTGAGACATCTCGAGACCTGATAACGCACTATATCAAATGCATGGATTATTATCATTACAATATATTCTGTGAAGCGCTTTGAGATGTCTCGAAGACACGAGAAAGGGCTATATCAAAGGCAAGGATTATCATTATTTGTAGTATTACCTGAAACAATGAGCCACAAAATCAATGCAGTCCACGAGGTAATCTTTGCAAAGAGCATCTTGTTGTCTTGCTGTTGTGTTGCCTGTTGACTGGAAGGTTGCTTTGCTGCTACTGCTGCTATTCCAGCACTCCATCTCCCTATTTCTATCTCTGGCAGGGCTGCTCATTCTGCGTCATTGGAAAAAACACGGGGAGGGCGGGGAGGGGCGGGTGGGTGAGGAATGTTTCCCAAAACATTTCTGACCTAGTTCTCGAACCGATGCTTAAAAATAAAATAAAGTAATGCGGAACCTCCCTCCTTACCTGAGTTGCTCCTCACCTGAGCTGTTCTCACTGTGATCGTTGAGGACATAGCTGGTGAGACACTCATTCAAGCTGATTACGCACATCACACTCTCATACACACACACACACACACACACACACATAAGCCCTTGTTTATCTCCTGCCTTAGAAATGCACATATTTGTTCCTGCTTTTTGCCGTGGCTACAACAGGGAATGTTACGTTTTGCAATCAGAAAGAAAAACACACACACCTTTGACGCAGCAGCTGTACATATAAAGACTCATATGTTAACCAATTCCAAGTCAAAGAAAGGTTCAAGTATTCTACAACCTTACATTTGGCTGGACCCAGAAGCCTGTCATTACGATATTTTTATATATAAATACATATATGTGTGTATGTATATGTTTGTTTGTTTGTTTGTCCGTTTATTGATTTATTGATTCATTTATTTATTGATGGATTTATTTATTTCAAAGCAAATTTTTAAATAATATCTATTTCTGAAGATTATTATTATCAATAAATATAATTATATAAAAGGCAGGGCGAAACCTTGGGCAAGTTTCCTTACTCCACACAGAGCCTAATAATAATCCCTCGAAAAACCCAAAACAATAATAAAATTGGTCATTTTCAATCTACGACTGTTTGTGGGACATTGCTGTGCGCAATTGGCTGTCGCGTTCGCCCACAAATATACAGTCAATTCACTTTACAGTGTGTTCTGTGAAGCGCTTTGGGACGTCGTCCCGACGTGAAAAGTGCTATATCAAATACAAGGATTATTATTATTATAATTCTTATAATTGATGTTGCACCTTTAAATTTATTGAGCGCCTTCCACGTCGGGAGGACGTCCCAAGGCGCAGTACAGTTAGGTCAGGACCCGAGCAAGGGGGAAATGGTCAGGGTGAGGGGAGGGAAGGGACTGAGCGAGGAGGGGGTAGAGATTCGAGAGAGGAGCTGTTGTATTATTGCAGCAGTAAAATTAATGTAAAGGTTTCAAAACTGTGTATCCATTTGCTCCTGGTCTCAGTTGGTTTGGTATTTATGTGATTCAAAGATGCATATAAAATTATCCATTTTATCCATTTGCCTGTCAGAGCTGATAATAGTAATATCATATGATGGAGCTAAGAACGAGATTGCTCACACTGTATACCACCAGAACCTCTAAACTAGATACTAGAGATTACCGGATCAAACATAAGCTTTCTCTTTGCTTTCTCTTCCTTTGCCTCGTGGAACAGATTATCAGGAAGAGTGGTTGAGGTCAGCACACTGGGACTCATTTAAAAACACAGAGCTTGACGCTGTGATGGGAAGATGGTGGCAAAGGTATTCTGGAGGGTTGAGGTCAAATGGGCAACTGAACCAATCTTGAGATCTCGATATGATATGCGGCTCGCTGCTGGACACAAACATTTGAACTGTTTGTAAGGCATTGTGTAATGTGTAAAAAAAAACCATCCTGTTCGTACAAAAAACAACTTGCATTTATATATCATGAGGGGTAGAGTCCCGGAGGGCTTCCCAGCGGGGGAGTCAGACAACGGGCCGGGGGGCAAGATTGGTGGGGAGGTGACCGTAAACACGATGAAAAAGGAAACTGTTTAGGCAGGATTTGAAGGTGGGGAGGGAGGAAGGGGACAAGGCGGAGGGGTTAAGGGAGAGAGTTCCAGAGTTTCGGGGCATAGCGGCTGAAGGCACGGCCACCGATGGTGGGTTTTTAACAATACTTTGATACACCATTGCAGCGGGACATGAGCACACAGGTTAGTGATGTGAAGGTCAATATCAGGACATATATTAGGAGGGATTTGTTTTCGCAGAAGGAACTGACTGGAGGAGGAAGTATTCCCGAAAAAGGTGATAAATGAGGTGACATTTCACCTCATTTAAGAAACAGCTTGAAGCCATAATGGATGACAGTGAGGTAATTAATAAAGGATGTGTGAGATGACATCAGCTGATGAAACTTCATCCAAATCAGTCTTGCGATCTTGTTAAGAATCACGCCCAAAATATCAACCGAACATTCTCTTTCAGTTGTCAAATGGCTTGATGTGCACTTCCATCATTTTCCATTTAATAATAATAATCCTGGCATTTGATATAGCAATTTCACATTTTCGAGACGTCTCAAAGCGCTTCACAGAATATGCTATCAAGTGAATTGACTGTATATTTGTGGGCGAAACGCGGCAGCCAATTGCGCTCAGCAGTGTCCCACAAACAGTCGTGGATTGAATTGACCAATTTATTATTTTTTTTTGCTTGAGGAATTGTTATCAGGCGTGTGGAGTAAGGAAACTTGCCCAAGGTTTCGCCCTCTGCCTGGAATTGAACCCAGGTGTCTCACTTGCAAGGCGAGTGCTCTAACCACTGAGCTACAGGACTCCAATGTAGTCATCTTGCCCCAGTCACTGTTCCTTGATCACTTGAGCCATGTCCCACTTGCTGACACCTTCCCCGTATCAAATTGTGGAGTCCTGTAGCTCAGTGGTTAGAGCACTCGTCTCGCAAGCAAGAAGATCTGGTTCGATTCCCGGCAGGGCAAAATGTTGGGCAAGTTTCCTTACTCCACACACCCCTGTTTGCCAAGCAGTAAGTCGGAACCCGGTTGTTGGTCGATTGGAGGATTGCTTTTCCGGGGATAATAAGCCCTTCAAAAATATAATAAATATGAATAATAATGTGGTTTCTCAATCCACGACTGTATGTTAGGCACTGCTGTGCGTAATTGGCTGCCGCGTTTGGCCCACAAAATACAGAGCCACTCAACTTTACAATATAGTCTGTGAAGCACTTTGAGACGCGATGAAGACGTGATAAGGCGCTATATCAACATGCAAGGATTATTATTATTATTGTCCTGACTTCCCAGCGCAGCATCAAACTATTTAAAATGAGTGCAGTGTCCTGGCCTGAACTTCCCTTGCTGGCAAACTGGTGCAGTCGTTAATTACCCTGTGGGTAAAGGAAACCTTCCTGCCATCTGTCCTGAAATTACCCTTTCCAACTCTAAACCTCCGTCTTCTGTTCGGTCTGAGCGCAGGTGTGTACAACTCAAACTTCATATTGATGGCTGGAGGGGATATTGCACAATAGATGTCAATGAACCAAACTGTAATGACGAGTGTGACCACTAGTCTTTTTACTCTCTGTCTGACTCAGTTGATTGCGTTGGGGAAATAATCAGGGTTGGGTTTGATGTCATAGGAAGGTTCAGGCAGCCGTAAATGAAGGCTTCAAAAAATTTGAACATACTCAAAGGTTAACAGAGACGCTGACGGTATCATCATCCATGATTGCACACTCAACCTTGCTAAGCCAGTCCGGAACCTTGGGGTCTTGCTTGACTCTCAACTATCCTTTCTACCCCACATTCGCACCATGACCCCCTCTGCCTTCCCCCACGTCCGCAACTTTGCCCGGCTCCGACACTGTCTCACACCGCAGGCTGCCAAAACCCTCATACACGCCTTCATTACATCGAGGCTCGACTATGCAAACTCACTGCCGGTCAGTCTCCCCAACTCCTCCCTCCACAGATCATCCAGAACTCTGCAGCCGGTATCCTCTCCCACACCAGGTTCCGTGATCCTATCACTCCCATCGTTGCCCACATCCACTGGCTTCCCATCACACAGAGGATATAGTTTAAGATGCTGGTCGTCACCTTCAAAGCCCCCCCCCAAACATGTCAGATTGAGGTTCCTCTTTGACAACATCTCCTGTATTTATCTGAATTTTGCATATTGTGTGAGTAGGTCATGTTTATATGTCTCCTGGCCAACAATCCTCCTGATACAGTCAGTCATTCATTTTGTGGCTGTTTGTTTCACATTGTTGTGCGTAAAGCGGATGTCGCATTTGCCTACATAATACAGTCACTGCACTTCACAGTAATTCCCGGGAATAAGTTTCTACAGCCCCTCATTCTTTAAAAGAGTCGATGGGACCAAACAGGGCAATTGGTTGACAAACAGTTTATTCAGTTTGATACAAGCGCTCTCAGTTAAACTATTACAAGTGTATCAACTATTACATAAATAAGATCAATAACATAACAATTTAACATCATCAAACTCATATTTTTGTTGAGTAATTGAATAGTTTAATAAACATGATAGAACTATTTGTTTTTTTAAGAGACAGAGGTCGGCAATGCCAAATCCTGGGCTTTAAAATTTACCTATTTAAATAATTTAGATATATAATAAGAATATGATGAATGTGATAATCACTATAATAACTACTGTTGAAGTTGATAATTTATTAAATCGATATGTAAATAGTTACTTAATTATAGTAATGTTTTATAAACAAACACGTTTGGCCACATATGTTGACTCCGTTGCAAAATACAGTCACTCTACAGTAAATTCTGTGAAGTGCTTTGAGACAGACATCCTCTCGATGTGAAAGTCGCTGCATGAAATTCAAGAATTGTTATTATTGTTATATATTTAATGGATTAAATTGCAAAATAATGTCAACATAACCGTTCTGCAATTTCTAATTGAAATTTCAAATTGACACCAAACAGGTTTAGTCCTTAAGAGATCAAAACAGAGGTCGCTGGGAACACTCATCAGACGAAAGGTCATCGACCTGAAACGTTAAGCTCTCTCCATAGATGCTGCCTGACCTGCTGAGTATTCCCAGCGACTTCTGTGTTTATTTCAGATTTCCAGCATCTGGAGTATTTTGCTATTTGTTAGTCCTCAAAAGAAATCCCTGAACAATTCTGCGGTCGCTGGTCCAGCCAATTTTGTTTTTTACAAAAATTCCCTTCCAAATATATTAATCTTCTTGTAGTGCTAATAAAATATATATATACATATACTCTTCAATAACTTTGATAAAATAAATAGTTTGATAAACTGCTTTGAACTTCGATCGAGGTGCTTTCTTCAGTAATACTTTTACTCATCCAGATGGAGGCGATATTGTCCCCAGCTTTTTTGTACTATACTGTGGCTCCTAACTCTTTTCCTTCTCATGCAGAACGCAATCTGAAATGAAGAATAAAATATATTTATAAAATATATACATCTATTTGAAATGAATATATATGAAATAAACAATACATTATATCTGCATATAATATATATATATAATATATATGTGTGTGTGTGTGTGGGGGGGGGAACTGGCACATCAAAAATATTACCTACAACCATACCATCCAAGACAATACAATTTACCTTGCAATATCTAAGCATCCTATCGAGCTGAGATTGAAAGCAACTGATGATTGCCAAGCAAGCGAGATGGGGGGAAAAGTGACTGTAGGCATGGTCAAAGAGGTAGGTTTTTATGCAGGTTGAAAGAGGGGTAGAGAGGGGAGAGCGCAGGGTGGATGATGGAGGGAAAGTGGGGGACAGCAATAGTGAGGCGGGGGGCACCCAGGGTTAGAAGAGTTGAATTTACTTACCAATAGACAAATAGTGCATATAATGAATATGGCGAGCAGGATAGCCAGGACTATAATGATTATGGCCCAAAATGGTAGGCTCTTGTTGCCAGTAACTGGTGCTTCCGTTCCTACACAAACCAAACAGAATGCAATTGTCAATAATAAGACATCATTTCACAATTCATAACCAACAGAGCTGCGGCAGAGATCACTACTTTAAGAACGGGTAAAGCATTTTGTTGCTTCTCCCATTGTGCTTGGATATACGTTCTTTGGTTAAGGAATTTCAAGATGCGCTACGTATCAGGACAAATCGGGATTTTCTCGAAATACACAATCAAAAATAATTCAAATGCTGAATAAAATGACCGAATTATCAATTCTTTATTAGAACTATATTTGGATCCGTTTCAAATGCAATTCAAACCATTGCAATTGTCCCACAAACAAGTCATGAAAGGAAGGAACAATTGTAGGTGGGTGAGGTTGTCAGTTAGGACGGTCGGGAGTAACTCTCTTGCCTTTTCGAATATCGTCATGTGATAGTATTGGTTCGTTGACTTACCGGTGGTGGATGGGGCATTGTTGGTTGTTCCTGTTGATGGGTGTGCGGCTGTCTGACTTGTGGGGCCCTGTGATGCCGCTGATGGTCTGGCACTCAGTGTTGCTGTTGTTCTGGCTGCAGTGTTGGAGGTTCCTGACTTAGTCGTGGATCCTGGAGAACAGGTAGTTGTCATTTTAGTACTCGCAGTTTCCAACAGAGAGCACGATCTCTGGATCTACCTCATCGACACAAACCACAGCCGCTGAGCACCTGATGTAACTACTTTAAACTTCTCTACACTTCAACTAACTGACCCGAAATTCCACCTGGTCCCAGAGCGATTAAGAATTAAGAGTGAATTAAAGAGTTTTCCACAATCCTGACCTTCGATTTTAAGGCAAAATACCCTTACAGAATGGAATCCCGGGGCACACACATCCCTTGCGACTTCGGCAAAAGTTTTGCTGAATTTTATAGCAAACTTCACGAGAAAAATGAAATGAAATAAAATGGAATTACATGGAGGCTTTTGTTTCAATGGATATGGCACAAACGTCTGAAAATGGTGGTTTAGCATTACTTACAAAAATGGTTCGGAGAAGTAATTTTAAAACTTACCGCTTTCTGCTGGTGCGGAGCTGGTGCGGTCTGTTGGTGCGGAGCTGGTGCTGTCTGTTGGGGCTGAGCTGGTGCTCTCTTTTGGGGCTGAGCTGGTGCTCTCTGTTGGTGCTGAGCTGGTGCTGTCTGTTGGTGCTGAGCTGGTGCTCTCTGTTGGTGCTGAGCTGGTGCTCTCTGTTGGCGCTGAGCTGGTGCTCTCTGTTGGTGCTGAGCTGGTGCTCTCTGTTGGTGCTGAGCTGGTGCTCTCTGTTGGTGCTGAGCTGGTGCTCTCTGTCGGGGCTGAGCTGGTGCTTTCTGTTGGTGCTGAGCTGGTGCTCTCTGTTGGTGCTGAGCTGGTGCTCTCTGTCGGGGCTAAGCTGGTGCTCTCTGTTGGTGCTGAGCTGGTGCTTTCTGCTGGTGCTGAGCTGGTGCTCTCTGTCGGGGCTGAGCTGGTGCTCTCTGTCGGGGCTGAGCTGGTGCTCTCTGTTGGTGCTGAGCTGGTGCTCTCTGTCGGGGCTGAGCTGGTGCTCTCTGTCGGGGCTGAGCTGGTGCTCTCTGTCGGGGCTGAGCTGGTGCTCTCTGTCGGTGCTGAGCTGGTGCTCTCTGCTGGTGCTGAGTTGGTGTCTGGAGCTGGTGCTCTCTGTGGGGCTGAGCTGGTGCTCTCTGTCGGGGCTGAGCTGGTGCTCTCTGTCGGGGCTGAGCTGGTGCTCTCTGTCGGGGCTGAGCTGGTGCTCTCTGTCGGGGCTGAGCTGGTGCTCTCTGTCGGGGCTGAGCTGGTGCTCTCTGTCGGGGCTGAGCTGGTGCTCTCTGTCGGGGCTGAGCTGGTGCTCTCTGTCGGGGCTGAGCTGGTACTGTCTGATATCTGGGAGGTGGAGGTTTCAGCCATGGGGCTGGATGCTGAGGTTTGTGTCAGTGAGGTAGATGCGGAGCTGCTGGTTTCTGCTGGTGTTGCGCTGGTGGGTGCAGCAGTTGCCGATGTGGAGCTTTCCGGCATGGGGCTGGATACGGCTGATGAGGGTGAGTCCGTTTGAGAGATTGTGGTTCCGAGGGTACTTTCACCTGTTTTATACAATGACAAATCAGACTTAGACTCAGGCAAAGTGTCGCATAACCGTATGAATCAGACTCACATTCACCTACAAATACACTGCACCTTTACATCAGATGCTGTTGCAATGTAATAAAGCCCTGCACTAAAAGCAAGTTATTCTTATTACTCACAAACATACACAGTCAATTCACATCACAGTATATCCTGTGAAGCGCTTTGAGACGTCTCAAAGACGTGATAAAGTGCAATATCAAATTCGTAGATTAGTATATAATATTGGTTAATATTATATAAATTATTATCGTCGTTAAATCTAAACCATTAACGGCCACTTATAAAATACCCAGTCACTACAGTAAAATCATGTGAAGGGCTTTGAGACGTTCTCTCGATACGAAAAAAGGCGCTTCTGTACATCAAATGTAAGGATTATCATTATTGTAATATATTCACTGACACCTTGTGAAGGTGTATTCACTCATCACCGCTGACCTAAAGCAAAGCTGCACCTCCAAGTATATAGTCAATCCACTTCACAGTCCACAACTGTTTGTGGGACGCTGTTGTGCGCAATTGGCTACCATGTTTGGTCCACAAAATATACAGTCAATCCACTTTCCAGTGTATCCTATGCAGCGCTTTGAGACATCTCGAGACCTGATAAGGCACTATATCAAATGCATGGATTATTATCATTACAATATATTCTGTGAAGCGCTTTGAGATGTCTCGAAGACATGAGAAAGGGCTATATCAAAGGCAAGGATTATCATTATTTGTAGTGTTACCTGAAACAATGAGCCACAAAATCAATGCAGTCCACGAGGTAATCTTTGCAAAGAGCATCTTGTTGTCTTGCTGTTGTGTTGCCTGTTGACTGGAAGGTTGCTTTGCTGCTACTGCTGCTATTCCAGCACTCCATCTCCCTATTTCTATCTCTGGCAGGGCTGCTCATTCTGCGTCATTGGAAAAAACACGGGGAGGGCGGGGAGGGGAGGGTGGGTGAGGAATGTTTCCCAAAACATTTCTGACCTAGTTCTCGAACCGATGCTTAAAAATAAAATAAAGTAATGCGGAACCTCCCTCCTTACCTGAGTTGCTCCTCACCTGAGCTGTTCTCACTGTGATCGTTGAGGACATAGCTGGTGAGACACTCATTCAAGCTGATTACGCACATCACACTCTCATACACACACACACACACACACACACACACACACACATAAGCCCTTGTTTATCTCCTGCCTTAGAAATGCACATATTTGTTCCTGCTTTTTGCCGTGGCTACAACAGGGAATGTTACGTTTTGCAATCAGAAAGAAAAACACACACACCTTTGACGCAGCAGCTGTACATATTAACGACTCATATGTTAACCAATTCCAAGTCAAAGAAAGGTTCAAGTATTCTACAACCTTACATTTGGCTGGACCCAGAAGCCTGTCATTACGATATTTTTATATATAAATACATATATGTGTGTATGTATATGTTTGTTTGTTTGTCCGTTTATTTATTTATTTATTTATTTATTGATGGATTTATTTATTTCAAAGCAAATTTTTAAATAATATCTATTTCTGAAGATTATTATTATCAATAAATATAATTATATAAAAGGCAGGGCGAAACCTTGGGCAAGTTTCCTTACTCCACACAGAGCCTAATAATAATCCCTCGAAAAACCCAAAACAATAATAAAATTGGTCATTTTCAATCTACGACTGTATTATAATTCTTATAATTGATGTTGCACCTTTAAAGTCTGCAGAACATTAAAAAACTTTTGACAGGACGATCCTGTAAAGTGGAACGACTGCATATTTTTGTGAGTGTTTTTTGGGGATCGTTCTTGTAATTTGTTTTGCCTTCAAGTACAACATTTACGCTGTGCTGCGACTTAACCAATACTTTGGTCAAAAATCGGATAATTTTCATTCAAAACTCAGCATGATCTATTTAAATTAATAATAATAATACTTGTCTTTCCCCCTTATCTCCTACCCCACCCCCACACCTTTGGAGTATTATTGCAGCAGTAAATTTATTGTAAAGGTTTCAAAACTGTGTATCCATTTGCTCCTGGTCTCAGTTGGTTTGGTATTTATGTGATTCAAAGATGCATATAAAATTATCCATTTTATCCATTTACCTGTCAGAGCTGGTAATAGTAATATCATATGATGGAGCTAAGAACGAGATTGCTCACACTGTATACCACCAGAACCTCTAAACTAGATACTAGAGGTTACCGGATCAAACATAAGCTTTCTCTTTGCTTTCTCTTCCTTTGCCTCGTGGAACAGATTATCAGGAAGAGTGGTTGAGGTCAGCACACTGGGACTCATTTAAAAACACAGAGCTTGACGCTGTGATGGGAAGATGGTGGCAAAGGTATTCTGGAGGGTTGAGGTCAAATGGGCAACTGAACCAATCTTGAGATCTCGATATGATATGCGGCTCGCTGCTGGACACAAACATTTGAACTGTTTGTAAGGCATTGTGTAATGTGTAAAAAAAAACCATCCTGTTCGTACAAAAAACAACTTGCATTTATATATCATGAGGGGTAGAGTCCCGGAGGGCTTCCCAGCGTGGGAGTCAGACAACGGGCCGGGGGGCAAGATTGGTGGGGAGGTGACCGTAAGCACGATGAAAAAGGAAAGTGTTTAGGCAGGATTTGAAGGTGGGGAGGGAGGAAGGGGACAAGGCGGAGGGGTTAAGGGAGAGAGTTCCAGAGTTTCGGGGCATAGCGGCTGAAGGCACGGCCACCGATGGTGGGTTTTTAACAATACTTTGATACACCATTGCAGCGGGACATGAGCACACAGGTTAGTGATGTGAAGGTCAATTTCAGGACATATATTAGGAGGGATTTGTTTTCGCAGAAGGAACTGACTGGAGGAGGAAGTATTCCCGAAAAAGGTGATAAATGAGGTGACATTTCACCTCATTTAAGAAACAGCTTGAAGCCATAATGGATGACAGTGAGGTAATTAATAAAGGATGTGTGAGATGACATCAGCTGATGAAACTTCATCCAAATCAGTCTTGCGATCTTGTTAAGAATCACGCCCAAAATATCAACCGAACATTCTCTTTCAGTTGTCAAATGGCTTGATGTGCACTTCCATCATTTTCCATTTAATAATAATAATCCTGGCATTTGATATAGCAATTTCATATTTTCGAGACGTCTCAAAGCGCTTCACAGAATATGCTATCAAGTGAATTGACTGTATATTTGTGGGCGAAACGCGGCAGCCAATTGCGCTCAGCAGTGTCCCACAAACAGTCGTGGATTGAATTGACCAATTTATTACTTTTTTTTGCTTGAGGAATTGTTATCAGGCGTGTGGAGTAAGGAAACTTGCCCAAGGTTTCGCCCTCTGCCTGGAATTGAACCCAGGTGTCTCACTTGCAAGGCGAGTGCTCTAACCACTGAGCTACAGGACTCCAATGTAGTCATCTTGCCCCAGTCACTGTTCCTTGATCACTTGAGCCATGTCCCGCTTGCTGACACCTTCCCTTATCAAATTGTGGAGTCCTGTAGCTCAGTGGTTAGAGCACTCGTCTCGCAAGCAAGAAGATCTGGTTCGATTCCCGGCAGGGCAAAATGTTGGGCAAGTTTCCTTACTCCACACACCCTGTTTGCCAAGCAGTAAGTCGGAACCCGGTTGTTGGTCGATTGGAGGATTGCTTTTCCGGGGATAATAAGCCCTTCAAAAATATAATAAATATGAATAATAATGTGGTTCTCAATCCACGACTGTATGTTAGGCACTGCTGTGCGTAATTGGCTGCCGCGTTTGGCCCACAAAATACAGAGCCACTCAACTTTACAATATAGTCTGTGAAGCACTTTGAGACGCGATGAAGACGTGATAAGGCGCTATATCAACATGCAAGGATTATTATTATTATTGTCCTGACTCCCAGCGCAGCATCAAACTATTTAAAATGAGTGCAGTGTCCTGGCCTGAACTTCCCTTGTTGGCAAACTGGTGCAGTCGTTAATTACCCTGTGGGTAAAGGAAACCTTCCTGCCATCTGTCCTGAAATTACCCTTTCCAACTCTAAACCTCCGTCTTCTGTTCGGTCTGAGCGCAGGTGTGTACAACTCAAACTTCATATTGATGGCTGGAGGGATATTGCACAATAGATGTCAATGAACCAAACTGTAATGACGAGTGTGACCACTAGTCTTTTTACTCTCTGTCTGACTCAGTTGATTGCGTTGGGGAAATAATCAGGGTTGGGTTTGATGTCATAGGAAGGTTCAGGCAGCCGTAAATGAAGGCTTCAAAAAATTTGAACATACTCAAAGGTTAACAGAGACGCTGACGGTATCATCATCCATGATTGCACACTCAACCTTGCTAAGCCAGTCCGGAACCTTGGGGTCTTGCTTGACTCTCAACTATCCTTTCTACCCCACATTCGCACCATGACCCCCTCTGCCTTCCCCACGTCCGCAACTTTGCCCGGCTCCGACACTGTCTCACACCGCAGGCTGCCAAAACCCTCATACACGCCTTCATTACATCGAGGCTCGACTATGCAAACTCACTGCCGGTCAGTCTCCCCAACTCCTCCCTCCACAGATCATCCAGAACTCTGCAGCCGGTATCCTCTCCCACACCAGGTTCCGTGACCTTATCACTCCCATCGTTGCCCACATCCACTGGCTTCCCATCACACAGAGGATATAGTTTAAGATGCTGGTCCTCACCTTCAAAGCCCCCCCAAAACATGTCAGATTGAGGTTCCTCTTTGACAACATCTCCTGTATTTATCTGAATTTTGCATATTGTGTGAGTAGGTCATGTTTATATGTCTCCTGGCCAACAATCCTCCCGATACAGTCGGTCATTCATTTTGTGGCTGTTTGTTATACATTGTTGTGCGTAAAGCGGATGTCGCATTTGCCTACATAATACAGTCACTGCACTTCACAGTAATTCCCGGGAATAAGTTTCTACAGCCCCTCATTCTTTAAAAGAGTCGATGGGACCAAACAGGGCAATTGGTTGACAAACAGTTTATTCAGTTTGATACAAGCGCTCTCAGTTAAACTATTACAAGTGTATCAACTATTACATAAATAGGATCAATAACATAACAATTTAACATCATCAAACTCATATTTTTGTTGAGTAATTGAATAGTTTAATAAACATGATAGAACTATTTGTTTTTTTAAGAGACAGAGGTCGGCAATGCCAAATCCTGGGCTTTAAAATTTACCTATTTAAATAATTTAGATATATAATAAGAATATGATGAATGTGATAATCACTATAATAATGTACTTTACTGTTGAAGTTGATAATTTATTAAATAGATATGTAAATAGTTACTTATTTATAGTAATGTTTTATAAACAAACACGTTTGGCCACATATGTTGACTCCTTTGCAAAATACAGTCACTCTACAGTAAATTCTGTGAAGTGCTTTGAGACAGACATCCTCTCGACGTGAAAGTCGCTGCATGAAATGCAAGAATTGTTATTGTTGTTATATATTTAATGGATTAAATTGCAAAAGAATGTCAACATAACCATTCTGCAATTTCTAATTGAAATCTCAAATTGACACCAAACAGGTTTAGTCCTTAAGAGATCAAAACAGAGGTCGCTGGGAACACACATCAGACGAAAGGTCATCGACCTGAAACGTTAAACTCTCTCCATAGATGCTGCCTGACCTGCTGAGTATTCCCAGCGACTTCTGTGTTTATTTCAGATTTCCAGCATCTGGAGTATTTTGCTATTTGTTAGTCCTCAAAAGAAATCCCTGAACAATTCTGCGGTCGCTGGTCCAGCCAATTTTGTTTTTTACAAAAATTCCCTTCCAAATATATTAATCTTCTTGTAGTGCTAATAAAATATATATATACATATACTCTTCAATAACTTTGATAAAATAAATAGTTTGATAAACTGCTTTGAACTTTGATCGAGGTGCTTTCTTCAGTAATACTTTTACTCATCCAGATGGAGGCGATATTGTCCCCAGCTTTTTTGTACTATACTGTGGCTCCTAACTCTTTTCCTTCTCATGCAGAACGCAATCTGAAATGAAGAATAAAATATATTTATAAAATATATACATCTATTTGAAATGAATATATATGAAATAAACAATACATTATATCTGCATATAATATATATATAATATATATATGTGTGTGTGGGGGGGGGGGGAACTGGCACATCAAAAATATTACCTACAACCATACCATCCAAGACAATGCAATTTACATTGCAATATCTAAGCATCCTATCAAGCTGAGATTGAAAGCAACTGATGATTGCCAAGCAAGCGAGATGGGGGGAAATGTGACTGTAGGCATGGTCAAAGAGGGAGGTTTTTATGTAGGTTGAAAGAGGGGTAGAGAGGGGAGAGCGCAGGGTGGATGATGGAGGGAAAGTGGGGGACAGCAATAGTGAGGCGGGGGGCACCCAGGGTTAGAAGAGTTGAATTTACTTACCAATAGACAAATAGTGCATATAATGAGTATGGCGAGCAGGATAGCCAGGACTATAATGATTATGGCCCAAAATGGTAGGCTCTTGTTGCCAGTAACTGGTGCTTCCGTTCCTACACAAACCAAACAGAATGCAATTGTCAATAATAAGACATCATTTCACAATTCATAACCAACAGAGCTGCGGCAGAGATCACTACTTTAAGAACGGGTAAAGCATTTTGTTGCTTCTCCCATTGTGCTTGGATATACGTTCTTTGGTTAAGGAATTTCAAGATGCGCTACGTATCAGGACAAATCGGGATTTTCTCGAAATACACAATCAAAAATAATTCAAATGCTGAATAAAATGACCGAATTATCAATTCTTTATTAGAACTATATTTGGATCCGTTTCAAATGCAATTCAAACCATTGCAATTGTCCCACAAACAAGTCATGAAAGGAAGGAACAATTGTAGGTGGGTGAGGTTGTCAGTTAGGACGGTCGGGAGTAACTCTCTTGCCTTTTCGAATATCGTTATGTGATAGTATTGGTTCGTTGACTTACCGGTGGTGGATGGGGCATTGTTGGTTGTTCCTGTTGATGGGTGTGCGGCTGTCTGACTTGTGGGGCCCTGTGATGCCGCTGATGGTCTGGCACTCAGTGTTGCTGTTGTTCTGGCTGCAGTGTTGGAGGTTCCTGACTTAGTCGTGGATCCTGGAGAACAGGTAGTTGTCATTTTAGTACTCGCAGTTTCCAACAGAGAGCACGATCTCTGGATCTACCTCATCGACACAAACCACAGCCGCTGAGCACCTGATGTAACTACTTTAAACTTCTCCACACTTCAACTAACTGACCCGAAATTCTACCTGGTCCCAGAGCGCTTAAGAATTAAGAGTGAATTAAAGAGTTTTCCACAATCCTGACCTTCGATTTTAAGGCAAAATACCCTTACAGAATGGAATCCCGGGGCACACACATCCCTTGCGACTTCGGCAAAAGTTTTGCTGAATTTCATAGCAAACGTCACGAGAAAAATGAAATGAAATAAAATGGAATTACATGGAGACTTTTGTTTCAATGGATATGGCACAAACGTCTGAAAACGGTGGTTTAGCATTACTTACAAAAATGGTTCGGAGAAGTAATTTTAAAACTTACCGCTTTCTGCTGGTGCGGAGCTGGTGCGGTCTGTTGGTGCGGAGCTGGTGCTGTCTGTTGGTGCTGAGCTGGTGCTCTCTGTTGGTGCTGAGCTGGTGCTGTCTGTTGGTGCTGAGCTGGTGCTGTCTGTTGGTGCTGAGCTGGTGCTCTCTGTTGGTGCTGAGCTGGTGCTCTCTGTTGGTGCTGAGCTGGTGCTCTCTGTTGGTGCTGAGCTGGTGCTCTCTGTTGGTGCTGAGCTGGTGCTCTCTGTTGGTGCTGAGCTGGTGCTCTCTGCTGATGCGGTGCTGGTGCTCTCTGGTGGTGCTGAGCTGGTGCTCTCTGTCGGGGCTGAGCTGGTGCTCTCTGCCGGTGCTGAGCTGGTGCTCTCTGCCGGTGCTGAGCTGGTGCTCTCTGTCGGGGCTGAGCTGGTGCTCTCTGTCGGGGCTGAGCTGGTGCTCTCTGTCGGGCTGAGCTGGTGCTCTCTGTCGGGGCTGAGCTGGTGCTCTCTGTCGGGGCTGAGCTGGTGCTCTCTGTCGGGGCTGAGCTGGTGCTCTCTGTCGGGGCTGAGCTGGTGCTCTCTGTCGGGGCTGAGCTGGTGCTCTCTGTCGGGGCTGAGCTGGTGCTCTCTGTCGGGCTGAGCTGGTGCTCTCTGTCGGGGCTGAGCTGGTGCTCTCTGTCGGGGCTGAGCTGGTGCTCTCTGTCGGGGCTGAGCTGGTACTGTCTGATATCTGGGAGGTGGAGGTTTCAGCCATGGCGCTGGATGCTGAGGTTTGTGTCAGTGAGGTAGGTGCGGAGCTGCTGGTTTCTGCTGGTGTTGCGCTGGTGGGTGCAGCAGTTGCCGATGTGGAGCTTTCCGGCATGGGGCTGGATACGGCTGATGAGGGTGAGTCCGTTTGAGAGATTGTGGTTCCGAGGGTACTTTCACCTGTTTTATACAATGACAAATCAGACTTAGACTCAGGCAAAGTGTCGCATAACCGTATGAATCAGACTCACATTCACCTACAAATACACTGCACCTTTACATCAGATGCTGTTGCAATGTAATAAAGCCCTGCACTAAAAGCAAGTTATTCTTATTACTCACAAACATACACAGTCAATTCACATCACAGTATATCCTGTGAAGCGCTTTGAGACGTCTCAAAGACGTGATAAAGTGCAATATCAAATTCGTAGATTAGTATATAATATTGGTTAATATTATATGATATTATTATCGTCGTTAAATCTAAACCATTAACGGCCACTTATAAAATACCCAGTCACTACAGTAAAATCATGTGAAGGGCTTTGAGACGTTCTCTCGATACGAAAAAAGGCGCTTCTGTACATCAAATGTAAGGATTATCATTATTGTAATATATTCACTGACACCTTGTGAAGGTGTATTCACTCATCACCGCTGACCTAAAGCAAAGCTGCACCTCCAAGTATATAGTCAATCCACTTCACAGTCCACAACTGTTTGTGGGACGCTGTTGTGCGCAATTGCCTACCATGTTTGGTCCACAAAATATACAGTCAATCCACTTTCCAGTGTATCCTATGCAGCGCTTTGAGACATCTCGAGACCTGATAAGGCACTATATCAAATGCATGGATTATTATCATTACAATATATTCTGTGAAGCGCTTTGAGATGTCTCGAAGACATGAGAAAGGGCTATATCAAAGGCAAGGATTATCATTATTTGTAGTGTTACCTGAAACAATGAGCCACAAAATCAATGCAGTCCACGAGGTAATCTTTGCAAAGAGCATCTTGTTGTCTTGCTGTTGTGTTGCCTGTTGACTGGAAGGTTGCTTTGCTGCTACTGCTGCTATTCCAGCACTCCATCTCCCTATTTCTATCTCTGGCAGGGCTGCTCATTCTGCGTCATTGGAAAAAACACGGGGAGGGCGGGGAGGGGAGGGTGGGTGAGGAATGTTTCCCAAAACATTTCTGACCTAGTTCTCGAACCGATGCTTAAAAATAAAATAAAGTAATGCGGAACCTCCCTCCTTACCTGAGTTGCTCCTCACCTGAGCTGTTCTCACTGTGATCGTTGAGGACATAGCTGGTGAGACACTCATTCAAGCTGATTACGCACATCACACTCTCATACACACATACACACACACACACACACACACACACATAAGCCCTTGTTTATCTCCTGCCTTAGAAATGCACATATTTGTTCCTGCTTTTTGCCGTGGCTACAACAGGGAATGTTACGTTTTGCAATCAGAAAGAAAAACACACACACCTTTGACGCAGCAGCTGTACATATTAACGACTCATATGTTAACCAATTCCAAGTCAAAGAAAGGTTCAAGTATTCTACAACCTTACATTTGGCTGGACCCAGAAGCCTGTCATTACGATATTTTTATATATAAATACATATATGTGTGTATGTATATGTTTGTTTGTTTGTCCGTTTATTTATTTATTTATTGATTCATTTATTTATTGATGGATTTATTTATTTCAAAGCAAATTTTTAAATAATATCTATTTCTGAAGATTATTATTATCAATAAATATAATTATATAAAAGGCAGGGCGAAACCTTGGGCAAGTTTCCTTACTCCACACAGAGCCTAATAATAATCCCTCCAAAAACCCCAAACAATAATAAAATTGGTCATTTTCAATCTACGACTGTTTGTGGGACATTGCTGTGTGCAATTGGCTGCCGCGTTCGCCCACAAATTCACTTTACAGTGTGTTCTCTGAAGCGCTTTGGGACGTCGTCCTGATGTGAAAAGTGGTATATCAAATACAAGGATTATTATTATCATAATTCTTATAATTGATGTTGCACCTTTAAAGTCTGCAGAACGTTAAAAAACGTTGCTGTGTGCAATTGGCTGTCGCGTTCGCCCACAAATATACAGTCAATTCACTTTACAGTGTGTTCTGTGAAGCGCTTTGGGACGTCGTCCCGACGTGAAAAGTGCTATATCAAATACAAGGATTATTATTATTATAATTCTTATAATTGATGTTGCACCTTTAAATTTATTGAGCGCCTTCCACGTCGGGAGGACGTCCCAAGGCGCAGTACAGTTAGGTCAGGACCCGAGCAAGGGGGAAATGGTCAGGGTGAGGGGAGGGAAGGGACTGAGCGAGGAGGGGGTAGAGATTCGAGAGAGGAGCTGTTGTATTATTGCAGCAGTAAAATTAATGTAAAGGTTTCAAAACTGTGTATTCATTTGCTCCTGGTCTCAGTTGGTTTGGTATTTATGTGATTCACAGATGCATATAAAATTATCCATTTTATCCATTTGCCTGTCAGAGCTGATAATAGTAATATCATATGATGGAGCTAAGAACGAGATTGCTCACACTGTATACCACCAGAACCTCTAAACTAGATACTAGAGGTTACCGGATCAAACATAAGCTTTCTCTTTGCTTTCTCTTCCTTTGCCTCGTGGAACAGATTATCAGGAAGAGTGGTTGAGGTCAGCACACTGGGACTCATTTAAAAACACAGAGCTTGACGCTGTGATGGGAAGATGGTGGCAAAGGTATTCTGGAGGGTTGAGGTCAAATGGGCAACTGAACCAATCTTGAGATCTCGATATGATATGCGGCTCGCTGCTGGACACAAACATTTGAACTGTTTGTAAGGCATTGTGTAATGTGTAAAAAACTCAAACTTCATATTGATGGCTGGAGGGGATATTGCACAATAGATGTCAATGAACCAAACTGTAATGACGAGTGTAACCACTAGTCTTTTTACTCTCTGTCTGACTCAGTTGATTGCGTTGGGGAAATAATCAGGGTTGGGTTTGATGTCATAGGAAGGTTCAGGCAGCCGTAAATGAAGGCTTCAAAAAATTTGAACATACGCAAAGGTTAACAAAGACGCTGACAGTATCATCATCCACGATTGCACACTCAACCTTGCTAAGCCAGTCCGGAACCTTGGGGTCTTGCTTGACTCTCAACTATCCTTTCTACCCCACATTCGCACCATGACCCCCTCTGCCTTCCCCCACGTCCGCAACTTCGCCCGGCTCCGACACTGTCTCACACCGCAGGCTGCCAAAATCCTCATCCAGAACTCTGCAGCCTGTATCCTCTCCCACACCAGGTTCCGTGACCTTATCACTCCCATCGTTGCCCACATCCACTGGCTTCCCATCACA